AATTGAGCATACAAGGTTAAGTAAGTAACATTAATAACATAATAAAATAGGTAAACAATTTTAACATACTTAATGCTAACTATAATTAGCATATATTTTTTTTTTATCCATATAAGGATTGACCTCGCAAATTGGCTAAGATTATTACTATTTTGATAAGTTTTAATAAATTTATTTGATTCTTTTTTATTGCACAAAATTAGTTTTTGTTTGATTAAAATTTTACAAATATGATAATCGATTTTAGAAGAGCATAGTAAAATGATATTTATAAAAAAAAAAAGTTTGACACGTTGCAAATATTATGGAAATAAAATAATATAGAGAATGCAGGATGGAAGATATGTTGAGTACTGGTTTTCAATGGTTTTCAATGAATCACAAGTATTCGTGTGGAGAAACTTAACCATCTGTGATATTGTCTACCAACAATGACACTGCATGACTTCTTCTATTAGCCTTCTACGTTACACAAGTGGCACTTAAAACATGCAGTCTGTTTTCCAGTTACTCTCATGTTCAAGTTTTGTCTTTTGTCGAAATACGCGACACGAACAAATATACCAGTAGGTACTTCATTTTTTCTATATTATAGAAAAATATAAAATTCTTCCACTTTTTTTAAATTTTATTTTGATAAATATATAAATATAATTTTATGAATATAATTTCGTATAGATTACAAAAATATAAGATCTTTTCAATTTTTCTAAATTTTATTCTGACAAGTTTAAAAAAAAAAAAAAGATTTAAAATGCTTTATGATTATAAGAATTATTAAATCGAAGTAATATTACATTAAATTTGATAATTGTTTAGCAATTTGAAAATCTGTATAATAATAATTTCCTCATATGATATCATATATTCTTCGTATTGATCAGACTTGATACCATTTACTGTTATTTGGAAAAGTGCTATTCGCACATAGGTATATAACGTAATTACTCTAACGCAATTACCAGCGCATCGCTACGACCTGCTTCTTGTCTTGTGAAAATGGATTACCTTTCAACTGATTCCATTAACACGTCCACCGATCATTCTCATGTTTAACTCGATACCGAAAATCGACGAATTAGAGGAACGTTGATTAAAATTTTGAAATCGTTAACATTTATAGAATCCGATAATTTAAAGAAAAATTATACTAGAATTTTATTAATTTAAAATATTCTTATAAAATCTAATTAAATTAAATTAAATTAGATTAGATAAAATTAATAATAATATCTGTATAATAATTATTTGTTCATAAAATTTGATATAGTCACAATTATTAACAATATTCAATAAGCAACAATTATTATCGTTAATAAACAACAAAACATAAAATATGGTTATTATCAAAAAGCGATTTTAATATAATATAATGTGATTGATTATTGACAATTTTATTGGTTTTATAGGTTTTAAATAATTTTTTTATTGCCAATATTATGAGTGGATATCCAATTAAAAAGTTAACATATTAGACTTTTTTATATAATTTAATGAATTTCATACACAAATTTCATATATATATTTTTCTTATATAATATAATATTATAGATATATGATGGATTTGTATTTTCAAACACTGAATGAATACGTATAGTATTAGTTAAACAAAATATCGTGATTGAGAGACCGCAACATGAAGACATATCGCGCCACTTCCGCCATCTATATATCCTAAATCGTATATCCTTCCGCTTCTAAAATAAAATATCTTCCCGTGAAATATCATGCTTTCCCGCATGCGCGAGAAAACCGCAGAGTGAAAGGGAATCTACTTGTGGTTTACCAACCCATATACGATATAAACTGTCCAGCTTCGTTTCGTATGTATTTACGTGTAATATATTACTACGACGTATTCCTATAAATCGAAATTCTACGCGATTTGAATTTCTAAATTCCTTCATCGAGAATGTTCAACGATTAATCAAAATATATATTATACTTTGAATTGGTAACTATGAAATTATTAAATATAGAATAATGTTAACCTCTAACTATTAAAATTTTTCAATATTTTAAAGCCACTTATTGAAGATAAACATATTTCATAAAATTTATGTTTCGTTATTTATTGTAAGTAATTAAAAGGTGAAATGTAAATAGATAAATAATATAAATAGAGGAATATAAAAGATAAAGAAATACAAAGGAAAAAGAAAAATTAATTAATATTATCTTTAATTATATTACTATTTTTATTAAACTATTTTTCGATCCTCCATTTGAAATTCCATTCTGACATTCATTTGTAAATGATATTTGCGTACGCATATTTACTTTTAAATATTGATAGTACTAATGGAAATTAATATTAATTGGTCGCAAAGAAATAGTTGGCAGAAAATTTTCAAACGACAGAATCGATCTATTCTGCTAGTGTGATCAAATATTAAATATTGCGTATACATTAGATATATATACAAATATATGTTTGAAAATGACCAATCATAACGCAAATAGAGAGATCGAACGACCATCTGTGCAATTATTTCATCGCGGAGAACCGACAACTTTTGGCGATGATCGAGAGAAACTTAGCTTCTCTCTCGAAGAGATTTGCGCGTCCATTTCGTCGCCAACTATGTCGAGACATCGACGTTGACGATTCTCAAGGGAGAACGCATCGACGTCGATTATGTTTGCCCCAAAGACCAAACCGAATACACCGAAATCTTCCAGTCGGCCGAACTGAATCTACCGCTTCGCCGACTGAATGTCTGTTTACATTGCCGCCGCTGCCACTCTAATTAATTATCAAACCATCCTCAATAATGCACCGCTTGATCCTTTTTCAAACGTGTTGATTCTCTTCTCGTCGTCCTTCCTCATTTAATACGAGAAATCCATTTATTGCTTCGTTAATCTCTTTACGAAGAGTCAATGTTGGAAATTTTTTATCATAGATAATAGAGATTTGAATAAATTTGATAAATGTAAAATTTGTAAATGTAAAGTATATATATAATTATCTATAAATCATTAGATAAATGAATATTATAGTTATGATTTATATTGAATTTATAAACAATAATCGAATTTAAAATATTAAGTTAGGTTAAGATAAATTAGGTTAGATTAGAATTCATTTTTCAATTTGTTTCTTTATAATAAAATATTCATGTAATTTTTAATTGATCAAATAGGATTATCAAGAATGGATTGAAATGACGAATGACATAAACTAAACAAACTAAACTTTACATATTCTGTGATTGATCAATGTTTTTTGTTATTAATAACTCCGTAACAAAGTCGAAACAAAAATTTTTGTAAAGAAAAAAGTTATTTAAAATTATCTCAAGTATCTTCGATTATTTAAATGCTACTTTTTTTAGATATTCTTTATAAGGATAAAATGTTATTTTATATTTTCTACTTTTTTTAAAGAATCTTCTACTTTTTGTAAAGAATCAATTATTATATAGGCATTAATTTTTGTATGTGTTACTTTATTAACAGTACATTTAATTATATTTTATTTAATTTTAAGTTTTAAATTGATATACACAAAATAAGATTATTAAAAATTGATTGAAATAACGAAAATATTACATTATAAAAATATATATATATATATATATATATATATTAATTTTATAAAGAATCAAATTATTATAATAGAAATCAATATCAATATTTTCCAATACATTTAATCATTTACTTCTGAATGATTTTACAGATTACTGAAATGGGCCATTTCATGCGCAACAACTAAATAATACCATTTACCCAATTATCCAGCCGATAATCAGAGTAAACAGCTTTCAAAGACCTTTCTCTGCAAATCTCGATGACATTGTCGGCCAAGGTTAAAAGAAGAGGGTTAAAAGAAGATGATATAAGATAGTAGTTACGG